GTTACTGGCAGGGCCGGGGCTAGGCGTCCTAGACTCCCACGTGCTTTTATATCGCGGGCGGGTGGGATTTTATCGCAACACGGTGATTCGTTTTCTTTCGCCACCTCTAACATATGCTTATTGTTACTTACGATTTTCTTGTGGCGCCTGCAGGGAATCGAACTGGGGGCGCAATAAAGGGATCAGTTATCTCTGCAATGAGGTTTGTTTATCTCAGAGCTGGAGTCGATCAGTTCTACAAGCCTGGCCTGTGTTCTCTCTGGGCTGCTTTCCCCCTTCTCTTGGAAACAGTCAGGTCTTGGTGCAGTGCACTGCAGCCATTCTTCTATCGAAGTTGTATTACAGTACTATGGCTGTTCTCCATTTTCTTGTATGCTAGAACACTGATGACACTCAACAAGTGTCACCAAAAGGTGTGTTGTAGCATCTTTGAACTAACCCTTATTTCCTGTCGAACCATTACTTGTATTCTAGTAAAAAATAAAAGCCCCAACACAGTTGGGGGCCCTGTTGTGCTGTGTATTGCACATACACTTAGTGAGAGACAGTATCTGCCCAGAGTTTATAATCTAAATTGCCAGTGGTGAGGAAGAATAAAATTATCATCTTCCTTTTCCAGATAGAGAACAGGCACAGATATTAAGTGATTTAACCAAGATCTCAGTCTGTGGCAGAGCTGGAATTGAATTAAGATCTCCAGAGTCCCTTGCTAATGCCTTAACCATAAGACCATGCTTTCTCCCTCCCGGTGTTACAAAGAAACTGTTTGCTAGCCTTCTGGAATATTCTTGTGGCTTCTTTGGCTATGGAAGAAACACATTTCATTTCTTGGCTTCTTAAGTGAGAAGTCTCTTAGTGATTCATATATATTAAAATAAAGTCAAGAACAAAGACAACATAGCTGCAGGGTAAAGTGTTAAATTGGAAATTCAGTTATGTGTGATAGTAACTCTTATTGTTCTATAAAGCCATATCTAAAAATCTCTAACTATAAATTTCTGATAGAGCACTCTTTAAATGGTATGTCCTGACATCTTGGATTTTCTCCTCTCTCAATGACATTTATAAGATCTTTTCAGTAAGATAAACTGATCATATGTGCACCATTGTGATCTTAGGTGTTATAATTAAAATGCATACAGAAATTTTAAATTCAAATTGATATAGCATCCCACTGTGTATCTAATATTTGTAATGGAATTTTTCAAGAAGGCCATGAATAGTTTTTACAGAACTTCACACCTTCACCCCCCCACCACCCCAAACAGTTACTTAGGCTCTATTAGTAAATGTCCTTTCTCTCATTTATCTAATCAAATATTTTGATACCCGGTTGACCCAATGTTATAGAAGAGCTCCTATTGCAGCTGTCAGTCTACTTGTTCCCTATTGATACTAAGCTACTATATTAAATTGCACATATGAAGTCATATAATTTGAAAACACTACCTGTATATCTGAACCCAATGTTTACATTAAAAATCTCACTTTTCTTAAATTTCACGTGTGCCATGATAATTTTATTTTGAGGGTTTTTTAAATCTCTATATATGAATATTTCCTTAATATACAGATCTTGGTCTTCTAAAAATGACCTGCTTTGCCTGCACAGTGTCTCAAAACCAATAACTTAAATGATAAAAACAGGCATGGATGTGGTGATCAGTATGCTCCTGAAGTTGTCTGGGATCCTTATAATGTAGGAGACTCTGAACTCGTGAACTTCAGCATCTAAAGTTCACTGTAAATGGAGACACTTGTAATGAATACCCCTTAAAAGCCTTCGTTTGTAATAACTATTCTGTCAGAACTTTAAGCCTGTATGAGGGTGTACTACTTCAGTAACTTAAAACATATTATCCCAAACCAAAAATAGGGGAACAGTTTTTCCTAGCCTTCGGCTAGTTTGCTAATTCTAGGTTTCCAGCCAATACTTTAATCAAGATTTAAAAATAAAATCAGTGTAATATATTTAAATACCTCTAGCATTGCATGAATACCAACATTCTTTTTAACCTGAGACATTTTGATACCGTTCTAGTGTTACAAGATTGGGTTATATCTAAAAGCCAGACTTAGTGCTGTTACTTTAGAACTTTTGAAGGTTAATTGATCAGCTTAATTTTTTAAAGAAACATTGTAGCTATGTTATCTTAATGGTTTATTAGTGTGAGGATACTAGAGAGAGAGGATCTCTTGCTTTCTCTTGGCAGAGCTAATTGCACAAACCAGGGAGCTCTTTGTGTTCATCTGTTCTACCCAACAAGCTCCCTGTGTGCCATGCTCCCATCCCCCTCTATTTCAAGGACTTTTGCAACTCCTCCATCTACTCCCTTATGCCTAGGACTCTGTGTGCCCATGTTTCTCCAAAAATGCATCCTTTTTCATGGCATAAATAAAAGGAAGTCTTGATTTTTTTTTTCCAGAGAGCTAGCACAGTGCTTTATGACACACAGACCAAAACCTTTTTATTTTCAAAAAACTTTTAGACATTTTCTGCCCTCACTATTGCCACTGTGACTAGAGTCCTTCTGTATGAATAGTTTCTTTACTGCTTTGGGGTAGGTTAGGGGTGGGCCAACTTTTTGGCCTGAGGGCCACATCTGGGTATAGAAATTGTATGGCAGGTCATGAATACTCATGAAATTGGGGTTGGGGTGAAGGAGGGGGTGAGGGCGCTGGGGTAGGGCCAGAAATGAGGAGTTCAGGGTGCAGGAGTGGGCTCCGGGCTGGGGCAGAAGGGGGCTCTGGGTTGGGATTGAGAGGTTTGGAGGGTGGGAGAGCGATCAGGGCTGGGACAGGAGGTTGGGGCATGGGAGGGAGTGAGGGCTGCAGATTGGGGTGCAGATGGGGTTGGGATGCAGGAGGGTGCTCTGTGCTGGGATTGAGGGGTTTGGGTGCAGGCCCTGGGTGGTGCTTACCTCAAGCAGCTCCCGGAAGCAGCGGCATGTCACACCTCTGGATCCTACGCAGAGGCACAGCCAGACAGCTCTACGCGCTGCCCCATCCGCAGTCCCCGCAGCTTCCAGTGTCCGGGAACGGTGGCCAATGAGAGCTGCTGGGGCAGCGCACAGAGCCCCCTGGCTGCCCCTAAACATAGGAGCTGGAGGGGAGACATGCTGCTGCTTCTGGGAGCCGCACAAAGTGGCTGCCGACCCCGCTACCCATCTGGAGCGGGGAAACCCCAGACCCCGCTCCTCAGGGCCAGATTAAATCGGCTGGCGGGCTGAATGTGTTTTGCCCGCCCACCCCTGGCTTAAGGGATACGTTTCACCATTGAAATGGATGGGGAATACTTTAAGGTTAAACCTGGGTTTACAACTTCGTTCAAAGAAGAAATTGGAAAATGAGTTGATTTATTTTATAACGGTAAGAGATTAGTCTTAATATACGTTGAAAATATGGCAGCTTCTGATTTTACTAATACTTAACTTTAAGGCTGTTAATTATAAGTGCTGTTATGGTTTGTATGCACAATCGAAGTTGCTGAACTCAGTAAGCAAAAAAGCATGTCTTCAGGCTTGTCTACGCGGTGCATTCATGTGCCCCCACCGGGATGTAAATTTTAGTGCTTTCCAGCATGTGATGCTCTAGCAGGCCTTTTGGACCCTGCTGAAATGCACTAAAAGTTCCCTAGTGCATGTCGTAGTCCCATTTCAAATGGGGCTACATCAGTTTATATTAGAAAAGTTTTAGTGTCCATCAGCAAGATCCACAGAGTCAGTGCACCATACTCTGGTGTGCACTAGAATTTACACCACAGCTGGTGTGCACCTGTGCAATATGTAGACAAGCTCTTAGACTCCTGAGTGAGTGTTCCTATGTTTCACTAATGTGAAAGAAATTTCTTCTCTTTCCAAGAGAGAAGGTTTATACTGCATATTTTAAAAGGCTGAATAAAGTTTAGATGTATGGAGTTCAGATTCTGATGTTGTACTGCTTACACTTTGTTAGTGTATATGTAGTTGGAACATTCAGAGTAGTTCCTAAATACCTTTGTTAACATATTAAATCAGACGTAGCCACTGCAGAACTGTTCTTAAAATTGCATTATTGCAATTTGGCATTCTTTTTGCAGGAAACGCATGAGGAACATGACACCTCAACTGAAAACGCAGATGATTCTAACCATGATCCTCAATTTGAGCCCATAGTTTCCCTTCCTGAACAAGAGATCAAGACCCTTGAGGAGGATGAGGAAGAACTCTTTAAGATGTAAGTAGTATGGCGCTGGGTATGTATCTAAACACTAGTTACTTTTAAACTTGGAAAAACACTAATAAAAGGTAGGAAGATTGCTTGTTGCAAAATACCACACGGGCATTTTGGCCAGTAGAAAGAAAATAGCACATGATATAACTAATGTCTGTGCCCCTGGAGTGTTGGGGCTGATAGTGTAACATGATGAAATCCTGACTCTCTAGTGATATCAAATTGATATTATAAAAGTTTGGATTCAAAAAATGTAAACCTGTTGACTCGAATTGTGCAAAAATGTTGGGTCTAGAGATGTGTAACTGTCACAAAGTAGGTTTTTCTTTTTAAAATTAACATGTCCTACTCTGTGCTTAAATATTTGGGTCATCATGACACTCCTCTCTCTCTCCTCCCCCCCCTTCCATAGTAGAAGCTGTCTTACTTACTGAATCAGTATTTTATAGACTGGAGGTGTAAATGCCCCACCCTCTCTAACTCTTCAATGGTTCCCTTCTGCCATCATCTGGAGCGGTCATGGAAACACCTCTTGCTCTTTCTATTGTGTTAGCAGACATCAAATTGTAATAGTTTTTATATGATTAGAAAACTGGGCAAAAAGGCTTAATCTGAAATGTTTAAATTTTGTACAATGCCTTGAACTTTTCCTAAGCTGGAGACCTCTTTAGAGAAAGAAGTGTATGTAGCACAGGAGTTAAGATGCATTCCTCTTGCTCTGTGATGTTCCTGCTTCAAATAGGCATGAAGTGCATTTGGGAAAAGTCAGATGGCCAAAAGTAGTCATTTTCAAGCTCTGTTCCAGAGTGTGCTCCTGTAAGAGGCTCTGATAACACATGGTTCTACGAGAACATCTCCAAAAATTGACCTGCATGAGTAGCGTGATCACTAAGCTTTTCTGCGTGATGTGCAGTCCCAGATGAAATAAGCCGTTCTCTTATAAAGTCAACCCTTAAATACTGGAATAGGTTCTGCTGTCTAAGGATCAGAGGGTCCTTTTAATAGCGTTTCGGAAAGTTCTTCTTAAGGTGCCAGCAGTTCAATAGGTTGTGCAGCAAAAGGAAGTGTTTTGACCAAAATTTGCTGAGACCTGGCTGGATGCCAGTGCTCTGGGCTTTCCTGAATCCCAGGGTTCCAAAAAAAGATAAGCCACCTTGAATCCAGGTAGTTGATCCGCAGGGAAACAAAAATAATCTTGGGGGGAGGAAGAGACATGTTTCTGCACATGTGCAGTGGTGCAGAATTCCCTCACGAGTAGATAGTCGGAGAAAATAATATATCTGGAAAAGAGGCTGGGCAACTACTTTTTAAATGTTCGTCTCGCCTTTAACAAGTTTGTTAATTAACAAAACTGAAAGTAGGCCATGAAAGTAGGCCAACAGAGCTGGTTTCATTTGTGTTTTTGTTGAATCATTGGTTGTAATTTCAGTGCACTAATGGCATTCCAAATATACACAACAGTGTAACAGCTCTTCTGTAACTTAAATTTGTGTGCCCTATGATTTAAAAAAAGCATGAAATTCAATTTTTGATGGAATTAATTCAGTGCTAATATGGAGCTGTTTTGAAATTACACAGACATTCTTTCAGCAAAATTTTGGTGGGGCAGTGAACTTGTTTTTTAATGACTCCATTCATACAGTATTCTGTCCTGAACTAGTTCATTGACTACTCATAGCATGGTGCTCAATTTGCCTACAAAATCTGTCGTCTTGTACTCTAACTTGTTGGTAAGGACTCTGGATTTATTTCCTCTCTCCTAAAAGCTCTGTGGAATCTTAACTTTCATCTAAGACAGGTGGGCTGAGGGCCCTTTTATTCAGCGTGGTTTGTTTTTTGCATACAAACTCTAATCTCTTGCTCTCTTTCTCAAGGCGAGCAAAGCTGTTTCGATTTGCATCAGAAAATGATCTTCCAGAGTGGAAAGAACGAGGAACCGGGGATGTGAAACTCCTGAAGCACAGGGAGAAGGGAACAATTCGCCTTCTCATGAGGAGAGATAAAACCCTAAAAATCTGTGCAAATCATTATAGTATGTTTGTTCCATTATTTCTCGTAACTTCCCTTTGGCTGTCATCTGTTTTTATGTGCAAGTCTTATAGGATTCATGCATGTTTTGTTTACCCTAAAAATGGATTGGAAGAATGGGCCAATGGTCTAACAGCAGCAAATAGACCGGTGCTTGTATGCATCCAGTTTGATGCCTGTTTAACTTATTAATTGCACAGTTCCATAATATTGCAGGTGAATATATTTACAACCTAGTAAATTAAACAGGCATCAAAATACTTTGTTGCATATTTTAGTTTTGTAATGAACTCTCTTCAGATGTTCATCCATTTTCAAGGAGATCTAGCAATGTGGAGTATGGAAGTTCTGCAAAGTCTTAAACTTATTTAAAGCAGAAAATAACTTTTTTCCACTGAAATCATGTAAGATGGCTGAAAAGATTGTCTTGACACGAGTTGAGGAAAAATTGTTTGAATAGAAATCAGACATGGAAAGTTTTGCTGAAGGGAGATGTTTGAAGCAACCGAAAAGTGTAATTGGAAATAGCACTTTGTTTGTCTATGGTCCCTGTACTTATTACATACACTAAATAAAAGGCCTGGGCATGAACAAAAATTAGAACTATGGGTTCTTCAAGCTTGTGACTCTACTGAAACTACAGTTTCTCTAGTTTCGTGCACTTGCACCAGAAAAGGGTAAGCAAGCATAACAAGGCAGTTAAAAAGATACTATTCTATGCTGAATATTTGTAGAGTTTGTTGTCGCAGGAGACTGAAACAGAATTTTAAGATGGCGTCAAGGGAGGAGGGAGAAATCACTTAAATGAATAATCTCAGAGGGAAGCTAAGTACTATCTATAATACGTAAGATTACCAGCAGTAGAAAGGGAGAAACTTTGCTATTTTATTTGGATGCTCTTGTACCTTCCTTTGAAGCATCTGCATTGGCCACTATCTAAGAAAATACTTTAGACTATTGGTCTTTCAGTAGGGGAACTTTGCATTCTAAAAGGGTATTAAATTGGAACTATAATTTTTATTTTGTGGGGAGTGTAGTTTGAATAGCAGTGTGTGGTTAGCATTCTGTTTGGCAGTATTGACCTCCCATTGCAGATTGTTCTAGGACATGGGAGAGAACAATATGGGCACCATCTTTTTTTCTTTTCTTTTTTTTTCTTTTCCTTCTCCCACCCCTCCATCTAGAAATAATTTTGCATTACAATCCCCTGTGAGGTATAAAATTTTATTTACTTCATCTTACTAAGAGCTAACTTTCTTAAGGTACTTGTGGGGCTTATGTGGAAATGTATTTCAAAATGTTATATGCAGCTGGACTAATCAGTTCTTTTTCTTTGTAGTTACACCTTTAATGGAACTGAAGCCTAATGCTGGAAGTGACAGGGCATGGGTCTGGAACACACATGCTGACTTTGCAGATGAAAGCCCTAAACCTGAACTTTTGGCAATCCGGTTCCTAAATGCAGAAAGTAAGTTATGGCACAAGATCAGCTTCTTCTGATATTTATACTATGTGCCTTAGGAAGTAACCTTGGGCCATTTAATACTGCACAGTATTCTACAGTAAATGTATGAAAGAAGTTACCGCTACCTTTTGTAGCTCCCATGGTAGAAAAGAATAAAAATTCCCTGTATTCTTAAAGAATCTATCCCACTGGCTGTAAGCACTCAAAATGGGGTGAGCGAGGAGAAAAAAATCTCATTTGCGCATAGAAAGCCACCCTAATAATTGTCTGTAAGGACAGTCCCTTCTATCTAAATAGTACTGCAGCAGAATTAATTCAGAGTGCAACTAGTTAATTAGTAATGCTCAGAATATGTAGATAAAGAGTAGTTATGCTCCATCTTCCATCCAACACCATCTTTATAACTTTTTTTTTTTGTCTTGATAAGTGTGCTGACACTCTGTTTTCAAGAGAGCTTGTTAGTGTTTCCAAATTTCAATGCAATAAAACTCCAGGACTTCAGCCAGTGTATTGATCTTACTTTCATTAATTACCTCAACTTCATGTTTTAATGAAGATTAAATTTGTGGCATTACAAATACTATATGGAAATCATCACCTTGTATTAAATCTTCCATTCAGGCACATCACATCTCCCTTAGAATCCCATACTTTACTGACAGCTACACTGAACAAGTACTAGGTGTTAATATCCACTTGTCTCTTCCTTCTAACATATCAAATGAAATATCCCCTAAGTGGAATATAGTAGTCCTAACAACCACAGATAACTTAGACAATAGGTTATAGTAAATCTTTCTAGACTAAAGTTTATTTTTTTAAAGTTATATATTGTTTTGATATAATGCTTCCAAAGTTAGCATAGTTTGACCATTCATAGAAATGGTGCAAGATTCTGTGTTCTGTTCTTTTATGTTAATTAAAGGCTTTGAGCACTGTGGAGGAATCACACTCCTGTTGGAGGGAGTGTCTCATATCTGTGGCCAGAACAGGCAGATTCTCACATCTTTGTTCAAAATATCAAACTAATTTGACTGTGTAGTATCTCCTCTAGGTAACTTAGGATAATAGATGCCATGATTTGGGAATTGGAGGTGAAGTTATTTGTATCTTGGTAGCACCTGAGTACCCCGGCCAGGAGTGGTTAGGGACTATCCAGACATAGAATGGAAGCCACTGTCTGCCACAAATACCTTACAAACAACAAGATAAGTGACAGATTGTAGTGGTTGGTCTGGAATTCCCTACTTGGCATGCCACACTATGCATTCATTCCTAAATAGAACATGCGAAGACTAACTGTATGAGAAATAGAATGAGACTTTGAAAATAAAATGGCTGTCACACTTCTTCCCTTCTCACCACACTCCCCAAATGACTACTGGGTGAGTGACCTGCTCTCTGGGGCTGCTGAAACCCCTTCTGTCTGTGACTCTGGCATCCAAGGAGAATACTATGGTGGCTGCACAACCAGCTTGATTTTTCTCTTCCAGTTCCTGTCTAGTCTAGTGGGTAGTTCTTGTAAGGGGAGAAGCACTTCTAGATCCAGATGTTCTCACTAGCCCTTAAGCAGTTAATGCAGCAAACAGTGTGTGTGACTGTCAAAGACCATCATAACTGCTGGCTTCTTATTGTGCATCCCAGATAGCTTTCAGGTTGCATGCCACTAGCCCTGTACCAGTGGGTTAGCCAAATTAAAATGTCTAGCTTGACACATAGGAGGAAGGTAAGATGGTAGTAAACAAAAATGCTACCAACATGTTCCATTGCACAGTTGGGATCTTGTGGCAGATCCATATTAACACATGTTGGCAAACAACGTTTTCTTCTGTTCACCTTTCTAATCAGCATCCTTTCTCCTTCAGGCAAACTTTCATTGAAACCAAACCTTCTATTTAAACCCCTGAATCCCCTACCAAAAAAAGTGTACTTGGAGGAATAACGTTAAAATCCCACTCCTAAACTTATCTCTGAGTTTGAGGGGTGAGGGAAGGCTTTCATTGCCTCCTTTATATACTGCCTTGCAGTAGCAGATAAGAGAGTCTAGGTAGAATTCCTTCTTGGATTCATAGATAAAGAATTAAAGTTCAGTTTCTGGTCCTGTCAAGGGGTGTCACTTTGCATGATGAACTCCCGTTCAAAGAAGGTTTTCTGAAAATCCATGAGGAGGGTGCACACTCCTAAGAGATTCTAAAAAAACTTCTGGCTTCATATTCAGTCTTTAAAAATGTGCATTTTCCTGTGGAGCAATAGTGACCTCAAGTGGCCAGTCATGCTATCCTCAATGTGGGGGATCAAATTATCCTTTCTGGTTCTATTTTGAGAGTGACTTGACTGGTTATCTGCTTCTCAAATTATTTCAGTTAGAAAGGGTTGGAGGGATGCTTATTGTAATTGAACTGATAGAAACTTTCTGATAATAGCTGCTATCTTTGAAATGGAACTGTTCAGAACCAATTGCTTAGACTGAAATGTATTGAAGTATGTTGTCTTCAAAAGAATTCTGGTTAGCTGTAACTTGAGCCATGTTACCTGCATCTTTTTACTGATGGGTGTGTGTGTGTTGTTTGTTTAATAAAAGTGACTGGATTTTCAACTCTGGAGACTGAAATTCTCCCTTCAGGTGCAGTATAGGCAGTGATGGTGCAAACTTGCCATTCCTCCTTAGCTGTATCCTGGCGGAACTATCTCTAGGTGTGAGAAAATAAATGTCTATGGTCTTCTCAGTGCCTGCCCTCTGACTGTGAACAAGAATGTGTGGTAGGCTTCTGAAGTGAATGCCTAGTAGCTAGCTGCTAAGGTATGGCTAGAAGTTCAGCTAGCTTAAAATTGCACTTAGCAGCAGAACCTTAAGATGAGAACTTGGCAACCTTAAGATGAGAACCCACTCAAAGGTGCAACATCCACTGCTTTCTTTGGAGAGTGTTTAATGAGAAATAATTGAAGCCTGTATACTTAAGATCACTTGAACTAAGATGAAATCCACTATGCATATTTCTTGACAAAAAAGGCAGTCAAACTAAAATGTAGAAATGAGTTTTTCGGAATAAATGTCTGTTTCAGAACAAAATAGATCTAAAGAATAGAGGCATTGTAAATAATTTAAGGCAGTGGTTCTCAAACTGGGGGTTGGGACCCTTCAGGGGGTTGCGAGGTTATTACACGGGGAGTCGCAAGCTGCCAGCCTCCACCCCCAAACTCCTCTTCGCCTCCAGCATTTATAATGGTGTTAAATATATTTTTAAAAGTGTTTTTAATTTATAAGGTGGTTGCACTCAGAGGCTTGCTATGTGAAAGGGGTCACCTGTACAAAAGTTTGAGAATCGCTGATTTAAGGTAATGAAGAAACATTTTATTTCCTTCAAACAGATGCACAGAAATTCAAGGCAAAATTTGAAGAATGCAGGAATGAGGTAGACAAGAAAGCAAAGAAGGGTAAGATGTTAATCTCCTCTTGGAATTTTAAATGATTACTTCATCTTTTTTTCCTCTCCTTTCCCAAGTTTTTAATGCCTATCGCGGGGGAGAGGGAATATCCTTAGATTGCTCACTGTAATATTTGGTGCCTCTTGGCAGACTCACTCTGTGCCTGACTGCAGTCTTCAGTCCAGGGGCTTTTTCAGTCTGCTAGAGTAATGGTCCGGGGTGTTGAACTCTTCTTTCCTTGTAGAAGACTTGCAATTGCTCCTGGGACATAATTTTTAGGGTAGTTATTATAGAAAGGCTTTTCATTATTTATACAGAAAACATATACTACAGTTGAGTAACAGTTTTACCATACTGATTTTTTTTAAATCTTCCTATGTTCACCAGTAAATATCCCAGTTGCAGGATTATATTTTAAACTAATTTTTGAAACTTGGTTCATTTTGTTTAAATTGTAAAGTTACTTTACCAATTTAATTTGGTTCTGTATGAGAGACACACACACTACATATAATTGAGAGAAGCTCTCTGAACAAATATCTTCAATTTCATATAGAGATTAAAAATTTAGAATGGAATTCTGAGTTTTGATCTACTAAAGGTGTAAAAGTATAGACTCCTACTGGTCGGCAATTCAAATGCTTCAGGAAATCTGAGTGGGTTAGGCAATGCAGGAAACTGAATTCCCTTGTAAACTGTAGCCTTAGTTCTCTCTCACTCAAGCAAAGATGTTGGAGTGGCGGGAGAGAGGAGGATAGAGACCTGAATTGCATATAACTCTATATTAGGATAAGGATATTATCTAAGGAGCTGGAAGTTGTATGGAACCCAGCACATCTAATTCCACAAAATATGCCTTGTCAGTAGTTGCCCTGTAGCAATCAAAAAAACTGTCCAAGAGGGCACTGAAAAGGGGTACCATCCCGTTCTTAGTCGGTAAGCTATGCCTAGTGTATGACTTTTAAACCGGAGCGGGAGGGGGAAAGAAATGAGTCTACATTCATTTGGCATGGGATGGATCAACAAAGGACAAAAACAGTATGAATCATCTTAGTGTATGGCAGAGAGTTCAAAAATATCCTTATTCTCTCTCTAAAGCCAATTACACTCTTTCTTTAGTAAAACAAGTTAACACCGCCTTCCCACTGTTAATTAAATCTACCATACTGTGTGTAACTTTTTCTTCAAACAATCTCTTAGCAGGCACAGAGAAAAATGATAGTGCTGACAAAGTTGCTGAGAAATTAGAAGAGCTTTCTGTAAAGGAAGAGAGCAAAAAATGTGAGAAGAAAGAAGAGACCAAGGAAAAAACTGAAGAAAAGCAATAAATCATCTTGGGCCTTGTGTTTTTTCCTTAATTTTTTTAATTTTTACAAGGGACTTTATAAAGAACTGAATTCCAACATTCAGGTTGTTTTTTCTAAGCTTTTGCCCTTTTGAAGATGTCTTCAGAAAATCCATTCCCCAGTCATGAAAATGTACTGTGCTAACTTTCTTTTCCATAGTGGAAACACTTATTTATAGTCATCCAAAAGAGTGAATAAAACAAATTTGAAAACAGCATCAAAGGACAGAACTGAGTTTTCTATACACTTCAAACACTTGTGACTATAATTCTTGCACTTGGTGTTTACATATTTGAGGGTGCATATCTTCATATAAGTGATGTAATCAGATTAGATTAAGTGCATTTTAATCCTTCCTGTTGGTAAAATTATGCAGACATTTCTTGTATGTTATGTTAAATTAGTAGACTTAAGCAGGCCTCTTACACCAGTTTTGGGTGTTTGCGTTTGCTGATTGAGGATTGTTCCTGCTTGATGAGGTACATACAGTTTTCTTTAGCAGACCAGTATACCGTTTGCTTCCTACAAGGCTGTAGTGCCACATAATTCTGGATGGTAGAATTTATAATACTCCTGGCACAACTCCACTGATATGATGACCACTTATGGCAGACAGTAGTGGAAAAAGACATCCTTTGACCTATCATGGATGTAATTTAATAGTCACATATAGGTTCTTTCATTACAAAAAGATAAGTAGGAAGCTGCTTCTTTTTAAGTCTTCATGACTTTCAAAAGCTCTTTTAACCATGCTAAAGGATCAAGAGTGCTGTTTGCGTTAGAAAAAAAAATATAAAACCTACTTATATTGTAGATAGGACCATAGATCACTCATGATGTGCCATTCACTGACTCTTAAGGACCATCTGTTTACCAGAGATAGTAAGGTTTTTGTTTTTTTGTTTTGTTTTTATATCTACTTAATGTTAGGGATGAATCTAACCTTGTTAGACAACATGCCATGGAGCTCCTCAAATCAGAGCTTCCCATGGTTTTTTTTTTGCTGTGTGCCCCACCACCACCATGTGAGTGGCATAAAAGGGTCCCTTAATCCTGCCCATCCAGGGCAGAAAGTGACTCATTGAGACAAGCAGATGGCAGGACCTAGCTGGGCCTCCCTGGAGAAGTATGTAGCCTCCCTTTCATTCCTGCAGGGTTTAAAATAGACAGGGCTATGGCTTTCTGGTAGAGTGGAGGGCCACAAATGAGAATGCTTAGGAAGACTGCAGTAGTCAGTGAAGTGTGGGAAAGCAGCAGGCTATGGGTGGGGTTGCATGTGCTCTCTTGCCCCAAGCCTCCCTGTATGTTCTCCCTAGCCTGGACACCCGGAGCCCCTCACCCCAACTCATACACCCCAGATAACCTCCCACAGTTTGAAATACAATAGTGTAAGCAATACACTCCAACAATCACTTTCTAAATTTGGCACTGATGTGTTCAGAACTAGCAATCACTTTACCAGAATTTGTGGGGTTATAAAATACTTGCATTTTAGAAAAATATGAGGAGGTACTAATACTACTACAAAAATATTAAACCTATAATTTGAATATGCAAGATGAAATATAATGTTAATATGCTCCTAAAATGGGAATAAGTATTATGGGTCAAGCTGGTCCTTTAACAGTGGTTATTAGCAATGGATCTACTTCGTTTCTAACTACTGCTAGAGTTTTGGAAGACTTAAACCAGGATAGAAAACAACGAAAAGCCTTTACATTCAGTAAATGTCTTGTTAGTTTTTTGGTGGACAATTTCGTTGTACAAAGATTAACACAACTATCAGTAAAACAATTATTTAAAAATAAACTCAGTCTAGTCTTTCTAAACTGTAAAGGTGTAATGACCAATAATACCTAAAAGAGGGAACTGAATGTTGATAGAAGCCTGCTGAAAGCCTGCTGACTTCCTCCATTTATGAAATTTAAATTCTCTAAGACAAGACAAACTACATGGGAAAATGAGCATTAAATATGCTTTAAATTTGTGTAAATACCTTTTTGATGTTATAGTAAGTTGATCAAATCTGGAACTATAAAGAAGGTACTCCATTTTATATTAAAGGCAAAAAATAAACTTTTGGCATGAGCAAAGTTCATTTCTCTTCCCCTATTACTAGCACAGCAGATTTTCACAAGTACTGTCTGGTGTGGGATTTGCCCCTTCCAAACACCAGATACATAAATCAAATGTTTTAGAACTATAAAGCTCCTAGGGAATAAAACAAATACCTCAGCTGTCTCCTCCATAAGGGATCTCAGCAGCATGATGTGTTTGATATGTGTTTTTGATTTAAGATAGTATTGTATGTTTCCAAATACTTAATTTTACTGCCATCTGAATGTAAAAAGCCAAAATGTTATGTATTCGTGAAAGCCACCGTCGATTTAAATGGAAGCTGACAAGCAATGTTTTTAAACTTGTTAAAGGGGAGGTGAAGTTTACAAATCTAATTTCAAAATAAACTATGCGTTAAATTTTTTCATTTAAAAGATTTGCTTTTTTTATTTAAAAAAACAACAAAACCTTGTGTTGGAAATGCAAACACAATAGATTATGCTACTGCATAAGAAGCAGAAAACGGGCCATTCTAGTTTTGCTCTTGAGCCTGACTGGAAAAAAATGAATACTCATGTACACTTCATTTTTTTTAATCTGTTAATCCCAGGTATTGTTACAATTAAAATAAATTGTCATTACTTCATTGTATGATTTTCAGTTACTCATGCATGTGTGCTTAGTTTTATTGGCTTGATATTTTTACCCTAGAGTTCAGATGAATTGATTCAGGCTTTACTTCATGGGCCATATTCATCCTTAGTGAAAGTCCATTGGTATGAATTTTTCCCTAGGCCTTTGTGTAGTGCTCATATCTTGTTAGTATTCACATTGCTTCTTCTGTTTTCCAAGTAAAACACCAAAACAATTTCTGTGGAAAAGCATTTCAAAGAACTTTTTTTTTGTTTTTTAATTAAACTGAAACATTACTACTTTGTTTTAAAGTATCTCAATCTATTGGGCTGCTGTTCTACAAATAGAAAAGTAAAAAGTGGTTTAAAAAAAGGGATCTTAACATAATAAAAATTAGACTTGAAAAGGAATCTTTAAGTTTTGTATAGAAAACTTTGTATAGTCATTTTCATAAACTCAAGATGTTGGCTACCATGTTCTCAGGATGTTTTTCAGTTTGATTTATTTCCCCTGCCCTTTTATGACAGTATTGTTCACTGTTGGTAGTTTCCATTTAGGGACATGTTTTGATGTATTCACCAGGTGTGTGTTGGACTTTAATGGTGTATATGTAAAATTTATGTGAATCATTCTACTTTTGCAGAATCTTCAGTGCTTAGTGAAGAAGAGATACTCAGAATGACAGAACCAAACTTATTTTCCTCTTACCAATCTGAAAGTATCCCCCAAGCTCAATAAGGGAAACATTTTTCTCTTGATGAAAGGGAAGATTTCTTTTTTTTTTTAAATAGAATTACTTGCGAAGTCTTTACAACTGCAGATCTCAAATCTTACGATTAGTGTTCTAGATTTGTTTATATTACCCACTTAATGAGCTTCTAAAGGAACAGTATTGATAAAGGCTTGTATAAATGTTTTCACTATATGTGTTTAGGAATTTGCATCAGAGGACTTAAACTACATATGGTATAGTAATATGATGTATGAAATTAGAGATAGCTCAGACATCCGTTCTTACAAAATTCTTAGTTATATGTTGGACAAATATACTGGAATAGTAACTCATTCCTACATTTGTAGCGGTATCTAGTTGAATTACCACATCAAATTGTCAGTTATGAAACTGCAGGTATGGAAATGGGAGTAACACAAATTTGCTAAGGAAGTACTTTTGAAAGTTCAATTGAGATAATTCAGTGGTTACTTCTATTATGTTTACACTTTCAATCCTAGTGAGGAAATTCACAGGATTCCATTTTTGTATGTTACCAGCTATTTACTCATTTCAACCCCAGCTTGTCTCCAGAATTTTTAATCTTATTTTATGACAATATATAATATATTGGGGGAGGAGAAGAGCCTTTAAAAATAATGCACCCAAAAGCTACATTAAGGGCAGAACATGCTTAAATTTTGTGACTTGCAGAATTCTTGCTTGCCTGATTTGCAGAAATTATGCCATCAATATGAACAGAATGGTGATATTTTTCTTGTTGGGATATAGTGATCAGCTGTTTGGGAGAATGGAGAGAATTAAGGTGTGGGGCTAGTGATAACCCTGTGTCCAATTTAGAAACAGCTGAATCCTCTCTATGGATTACAAAGGCCTGTGTGTGTGTGTGTGTGTGTATATATAATTGTTTGTTTTAAGATCTGCTTATTCCTAAACCTTATTGTTGTTAATTTTTTTAAATGTCTTCAGTATACTTGTTTAAACGTGACCTTTAAATTATTTTGAAGTCTGCATTAATGGGTGTAAATTTCTATAGAAGAGGATCATATTCAGTAAATCTTACTCTCTAAACTGTGTCCAGGCATACCTTAGATAAGGTAGGTGCATATTAGAAAATTGCTAATACTGAGCTTCATAAGGAGGTAAACACAAGATTGCATAAAAACAAGCGACTTGAATATATTAAATACTGGATGCTTAAACATTACAACACAACCCAGACTCTTCCCAAAAAATTCTTGTCATTATGCATATTGATGAAAGCTGCTGTCTTATGTAAAGCAGACACTTTCCCAAATGTCATCTCCTGCAATGACTATTTTTTTTTCTACAGTCAGGGTGATGTATCCTGTGTCCGACATAAATGTAATTAATTTTCTGAGTTTGGGGTGTCACTGGGAAATTTTCAGAGCTCTAAGCACAATGCTGATCAGATATGAGAGTTGCAGATTGAAACAAGACTACAATGCAGGTCTGTTGTATTTTTTAACCAAACAGTTTAAATACAAGTGCTATTTTCAAAGCAGTGATATAGTGGTCATGTTGTTTTCCCTCCACCCCCAACTCTATGGTGAAATTTGCCTAATTTAGAACTTTTCAGCAGCCACCTAGAAGATGGGCACTGCATTCTACTAGTAGTGGCTGTCTAGGTGGAAATTTGGAGACTTCAAAGTACTTTAGAAGATTAAGAAATACTCCTACACTGTTCACCACTTTCTCCTTTATCAATACCCACTGGATTTTGTTATTAAATGAAAGACCAGTTTTCTAGGTTTTATCTTAAAACTAGGGCTGTCAAGTGATTTTAAAAATTGTGATTAATCATGTGATTGATTAATTACACTGTTACTTAAATGGTATTGTATTATTATTTTGGATGTCTTCTACATTTCTCAAATTGATTTCAATTACAACACAATACAAAGTGTACAGTGCTCACTTTATATTTATTTTTGATTACAAGTATTTGCACTGTAAAAAAAAAAGTATATTTCAATTCTACTAATACAATTACTGTAGTGCAATCTCTTTATCATGAAAGTTGAACTTACAAATATAGAATGATGTACAAAAAAAGCATTCAGAAATATAACTTAAAATATTAGAAGCTGCAACTCCACTCAGTCCTACTTCTTGTTCAGCCAGTCGCTCAGACAAACAAGTTTGTTTACATTTGCAGGAGATTATGCTGCCTGCTTTTTGTTTACAATGTCACCTGAAAGTGAGACCAGGCATTCTCATGACACTGTTGTAGCTGGCATCACAAGATATTTGTGCCATATGCGCTAAAGATTCATATGTCCCTTCATGCTTCAACCACCATTCTAGGGGACATGCGTCCATGCTGATGGGTTCTGCTTGATAACAATCCAAAGATGTTCATGTTCATTTTCATTATCTGCGTCAGAGGCCACCAGCAGAAGGTTGATTTTCTTTTTTGGTGGTTCGGGTTCTGTACTTTCCGCATCGGAGCGTTGCTCTTTTAAGACTTCTGAAAGCATGCTCCACGCCTTGTCCCTCTCAGATTTTGGAAGGCACTTAAGATTTTTAAACCTTGGGTCGAGTGCTATAGCTATCTTTAGAAATCTCACATTGGAACCTTCTTTGCGTTTTGTGAAATCTGCAGTGGAAGTGTTCTTAAAATGAACATGTGCTGGGTCATCATCTGAGACTGCTATAACATGAAAACCGAGCAGGGGCCATACAGTTCTCCAAGGAGTTCAGTCACAAATTTAATTAACACATTACAGTTTTTTGTTTTTGTTTTTTTTAATGAGCATCCTCAGCATGGAAGCATGTCCTCTGGAATGGTGGCCGAAACATGAAGGCGTGTGTGAATGTTTAGCATATCTGGCACGTAAATACCTTCCAGTGTCAGCTATAAAAGTGTCATGCAAATACCTGTTGTCACTTTTTGGTGACATTGTAAATAAGAGGCCTGTAAATGTAAACAAATTTGTTTGCCTTAGCGATTGGCTGAAGGAGAAGTAGGACTGAGTGGACTTGTAGGGTCTGAAGTTTTACATTGTGTTTTTGAGTGCAGTTATGTAACAAAAAAAATCTACATTTGTAAATTGCACTTCCACAACAAGGAGATTGCACTATGGTACTTGTATGAGGTAAACTGAGAAAATATTATTTACAAATATTTGTGAAAATTATCAAAAATAATATGCTTTGATTGCAATTGCAACAGCATTCAATATATATGATTATGTAGAAAAACATCCAAAATATTTAATAAATTTTAATTGGTAATCTATTGTTTAATGGTGTGATTAAAACCGATTAATTGCAAAACAATTTTGAGTAAATTGTGAGTTAACTGCAATTAATTGACAGCCCTAATTAAAACTCTTTGGATACCTTTGAGAATAAAAAGTGATGTAAAATAAAATTCTGTTCTAAGAGGGTGCAGAAAGAAAGTTGCTAGCTGATATTCTGAGATTTCATAGTTGTACATGAGAAATTATTGATTTATAACTACCAAAGTAGATTTAGAGGCTCTGATTGGTGGTGCTGTATGCTGCCATGCAGCAGTCTTCGGTTTAATTTCTTGTCCTTCTCTCTTATTCCTCAGGCTCCCATGGGCTTTGAGTGCTGCATAGATACACAGCAAGCATGTTGCTTAAAAGCTTCTCTCTATCCAATTGAAATGTGACACTGAAAGGTGTGCAGTCCTGTTTGCCTATGCAGCTTCATCTCAATCTTATCTGATCAAATTGATCTCGTTTTGAAGGGGGAGGATGGTAAATTTTGAAATACTGAAGTGATGGATAGTATAGGTCTCACCAAAGGGAACCTCTGGGTCATTACACTTCCTCCACTCATCTCACTTCTCTAAAAAAGAGGAAGGGTTACAAATTTAGCCAAATGAAGGCTCCAGGAAAAGCTTATACTCAAGGAAGAGCTTCAGTTCAGGTGTGCTGGGAGGGCAGGTTAATTGACTGAATTACTTTAAACTGCTGCACCTTATTTGTAATCCAGAGCAAGGGTTTTTTTTATTAAGCCTCTGGGAATCTGCTCTTTAACTTACTGGGAAATTAGGTATGTATTTGGCCTCTTACA